GGCCTGCTTGCCCTGCAGTGGTCGGGCTCCTGGCCCAGCTGGAGTAGAACTGCTGACCGTGCACAGGGATGAATCCAGACAAGAGCTGGGGACCTTGAACAGCGACCCGGAGACAGCCCAGGCCCGAGCCTGCACCCCGACCGAACCAGCCTCCACAGAGCCCCAGTGAGCCTGGGGTGCAGGGAGCTGGTGAGGGGCTGGCCAGGGGCCCACGTGTCCATCTCTGACCCGCCCTGATTATTACGCACCACAGTATAAGCTGCACAGTTATTTGATGACATGTATACTTTTGCAAAAAATGATGGTGACTCTTTATAAAAAAAGGCAATTGATACGAAGACATTACCGTAAAAGACAAGAGTCACCCAGCCCTGGCTTCCTTGATTCACCTGTTCTTGCCCCACTTTCACCCCTTTCCATGGCCTCTGTGGGCACCAGGGAAGTCCCTCAAAATAGCTTTTTAATCACAGAAGTCACCCTGCTTGTTGGGATAAAAAGCTCCAAGCTGGAAGGCATGTAAAGGAGCAAGGCTGTGTCTGTCCCGCTGCACCCCTCCTGGGAGACCCCACTGGGCCCAGGTACTCACAGAGATCACCAGAGTGGCTGTCACCGGCAGCACCCCCATCCCTGGAGAGGCCAGGCGGGCCCCCTGGAGGAGTCGGACGGGGCTGGGAGTCACCATCACTGGACTGGACACAAAGGGTGTTGCCGGCCCAGTGTCACCAAGAGTCCTGGCTTCTGGTTGACCCCAGGGGACCAGGTGGCATCTCTCACATCCTGCTCAGGCTCACGGGGTGTGGGGTGCATCCAGGGAGGGCTGCAGTGGAGGGGACCGAAATCATAGCTCTGCTAGACGGCCTTGCCTCTGAGACTCGGCCCAGGACCTGCTGGCCGCCCACAGGGTCCAGGCCTTGGTGCCCAGCCGTCACCCCCAGGGAATGACCAGCACGCAGGAAGCTCTGGGTGAGGGGCACTTCTAGGTCCACGGCCCCGGGACGGATGGGGGCAGGGTATCCCCTTGCATACAGGAGCCCTGCCTGTCACCTGCTCATCACCAAGCCCTGGGATCCCCTGGGTCCCCCTAGCCTGTGGGACACCTGGTCTCTGAGGCTTCTCCAGCCCTCCCAGGGGCCATCTGCAGCCAGGAGAGCAGAGCTCCGGGTTGTCCGGTGGGCCCAGGGCTTATGCTAAATGCCCTCAGAACCCACTGAATCTTAACAGTGACCCCAACAGCGGGGGCGGGGTGGAGGTACTATTACTCTCATTTCCTGGCAGAAGAGGTCCCAGACCCTCTCTGGCCCAGAGCCATGGCCAACTGGGTCACCACTGGCTGCTGTTTCCCTGCCATGTCATTCTGGTCTTCCTTCACATGACATGCCCACCCTGTCCTGTTAGAGGCGTCTGTAGCTGAGCCTACAGCCCTCCCTGGGCAGGCCCTTCGCCAACCTCGGATGCATAGGCTTAGTAGCCTGACTCCGTTCTCACGCCCTCCCTGCTGATACCAGGGGCTGCAGGTCCCCTTCAAGGCCCGAGCCAGGGCAGGAGCCCTACATGCCTGCCTCCCTGGCCTGCAGACCCCTAGTCTGGTGCAGTGACCCTTCCTTCCAATTCTGCAGTGGTCCCTAGGCAGGTTTTTCCTCCCCGCTGGGTCTCAGTTTCTCCTGCATAAACCCAGTCAGCAGTCATAGCTCCCTGGGTGGAAGGTTGTGATTGCCATGCTTGCCAGCATGTAGAAGACAGTTTTTACAGAGAAAGAATCAGGGTTGGGGAAACTGAATGCCTTTCCTCACACATATTGAAGGGCTTCTCTGCTGGCTCAGTGGTAAGGAAATCTATCTGCCAATGCAGGAGACATGGGTTTGATCCTTGGGTCAGGAAGGTCCCCTGGAGGTGAAAATGGCAACCCACTCCAGTACTGCTGCCTGGAGAATCCCATGGACTGAGGTGGGCTGCAGTTCATGGGGTCACAAAGAGTTGGACAGGACTGAGCGAGTGATGGAGCACGCATACACAAGTGATTGAAAGTCACCAGACAGAATGGCCATGGGGTGAAGAGTGACACCCATGTAACACAGCAGTGTGTTCTGGGATGGAGCAGACAGTCTTAACATCAGGGGATGCAGTCGCATTTTAGTAGCTGAGAAAAATGACAAATCCCAGAGTGAAAGAGAGCTCGGGCAGAATCTGGGAGTGCCAGCAGGGAGTGGATAAGGGGATGATGTACCCAGGATAGAATTTACATTCTGGGGGAGCAAATACTGGCACTGTTTGGTACAGGCTGATAAGAGGAAGACAAACCCAAAATTAAACAGATGTGAATGAATTCCTCTGTGTGCAGACAGAGCCAATATATCAGTAGAAATGGGTGCAGAGCAAAGCACCAAACTGTCATAGTCAGAGTGAGTTCTGACAGGGAGCTGTGATTTGGGCAGACCAATATTTCAGGAAACATGGGTAAGAAGCGGCTGGCAAAATAGTAACTTTGACAGAGTGTCAATGTCCTGCTCACCGAAGAAGTGGAAACAGAGCCATCCCCAGGTATCGGTAGGAGACAACAGGAAGCAGGAAACTCCCAGAGGACATGCGCTCTGGGAAGAGCCGGGCACATGTGTGGCAGAGATGGGTGGGCGAGTGTCCTGAGCCGCTGGGCTGGCCGCCCACTGGAGTCATCACCCAGCTGCTCCTTCCTGGAGCCCTCGGCCTTTCCAATGGGCACTTCCCTGGGGCTGACCGTATGGCCGCACCGCTGAGATGCCAGGGGTCTGACCCTTTCAGATCCGCCTCAGCTAAGCTGGGTGATGGGAACCAGAGCTGGAAGGTGGGAACCCAGAGGTGACATCGGACGGCGAATCCAGCGCGGCCCCCGTGCAGAAAGCAGGCCCCGGAGGACTGGCCCCGGGTGGCCAGGGCATGGTGCCAGGCCCAGCACTGATGGCCACACGTCTGTGCCGCCTGGTCTGTGATTTGCCTGGACTTCTCCTTTGTCAGCTGTGTTTTGCCCTGGCCTCTACCCTCTATTTCCTGAGTCAGAGCAAGGGTGGAGCTGTTGGAGGACAGGGGCACAGGAAGGTCAGACTGTGAGCGGACCTGGCATTTCACACGTGCTGTCATTTTGCCCAAATGTGTGTGTGATCAGTCTTCTCCACTCTCAGCGCAGCGAGCTGTGGGACCCCAGGATGCCAATGAAACCCCCACCCTGGCCCCTAACACAAGCTGTACTTCGTCCTGGTCAGACGCAGAGGGCTGGGAGTCTGGTCCTTTGCTGGTAACTGGGTGCAGGTGTTACTGGGGGAATACAGCCCGGACCAGCTGGGTGCGTCCAGCCGAGGAGAGACTGGCACCAGCGGAGTGTCTGCATGGAAAGCCGGAGCCAGGGTGCCAGGTGAGGGCTGGACGCACTCCAGGGCAACCCAGGGCTCAGGGCGGGGCCCAGAGGACGAGTCCCCAACCCTGTCCCCAGCCTGGAGCCAGGCGTCAGACTTCCCACGTCAGACATGCTCTTTCCTTCAATAAAGACACATCAAGAGGCAGCTGCGGGGGGCACACAGGTACCTGAGTGTCAGGGGCAAGAGGGGGGAGCTGGGGTCCAGCCAGTGCCCAGCTGGGGATGTGTGTGCCTGCTAACGGGCCCTGAGGAGGAGGGCGACAGAGGGAGGGGGCTGGGTGGAGGGGCGGGCAGCGGGCACAGGTGGCTGAGAGCAGCGGGCAGCCCTCACATGACCCGGAGCTCAGAGGAGGGCCTGGCAGACCGACCAGCATGGTGAGAGGTAAGGTGGGAGTAGGGGCCCCTGGTCTCTGGGGCCTGATGACCCCAGCTGAGCCAGCAGCCTTGTCTGGATAGCAGTAGGGAGTCCCTGAAAGGTTTTGGGGAGGAGGGAAGCTTATCCATGAAAGGAAAATGGGGCAGTCTGTTGCTGGGCTACTCTTGGGGGGCTTAGTTTCTTTTTTAAAAAAAATACTGCTTTGTTTGGTTGCACTGGGTCTCAGATGCAGCATGAGGGATCCAGCTCCCTGACTAGGGATCAGACTTGGGCCCCCTGCTCTGGGAGTGTGGAGTCTCCACTGCTGGACCCCCAGGGGAGCCCCAGGGGAGCTAAGTTTCTGAGCTGATGGAAGGACCCTCAAGTCCCTGACCCTTGCGCCTTGACTCGCCCATCCCCCGTGTCTCTCCCTTTTTGTCTTCAGCTCCAACAGGGGGAAGTGGGGAAGAGGCCAGTGACAAAGTTGAGAAGCCTCCATCAATGTGGGCGTGATGATGGGGTCCCCAGGGGACGTTAGCAAGGTCTGGGGGAGGGGTGCTGCTGGTGTCTGGCACGGAGAAGCCTGGAATGGTGCTGCTTAAGATTCTGCGATGCACGGGACCGCTGCACAGTCACGCAGTCCCCAAGTGCTGGACAGGTCAGGGCGTCCAAGGGGAGCCTGGTGGTCCACGCCTGCCCCTTGGGTGGGCGGTGGGACCGGGAAGGCGGGAGAGAACGGAGTTGGCAAGACTCCTTCAACGCTCCTGCCTTAGGCCGGAGAGAGGACCGGTCGGTGGCAGTGTTTCCCAAAGCGCCTTTACACTGGAGGAGAAGCAGCAGCATCCTCGCCTTCCCGGATTCTCCGCAGACCCGGTGTTTCAAAGCCCAGGTGTGCAGGTGTGCACGTGTGCATGTGTGCATGTGTGCAGGAGAAGCCGGGGTGGTCAGCCAAGCAGGCGGGCGGGGTCTTCTCTGCGGCGCAGCCTTCGGCTGAGAAGGCGGGGCTCGGGTGCATGTGGAGTGGCTAGGTGGTCAGGGCCTGCCAAGGGGCAGGGCGCGGGGGCGGAGCCTCGGGGAGGGGCGTGGTGCGGAGCGCGGGGCGGGGCCGGGCGCGGAGCTTGGCGGGGCCGCAGCCTCGGGGAGGGGCGTGGCGCGGAGCTCGGGACGGGGCCTGGCGGGGGCGGGGCCTGTAGAGGCGGGGCCTGGCGGGGCGGGGCCGGGTGCCTATTTAAGCAATCCCGGCGTGGGCGGACAGCAGCCATGGGTCTCAGGCGAGCGCTGAGGGTGCAGCTCTCTGCCCTCTGTCGCCGCGCCCCGCTGTCTACCGCGCCAGCGGCCCGAGAGCAGCCCGCCGCGGGCCCGGGAACCGAGCCCGGGCGCGGGCCGGCCGAAACCGCGCGGCCGCCGGTGCCCGCCGTGGACTTCGGCAACACGCAGGAGGCGTACCGGAGCCGGCGCAGCTGGGAGCTGGTGCGCAGCCTGCTGGTGCTGCGCCTCTGCGCCTCGCCGGCGCTGCTGGCGCGCCACGAGCAGGTGTGCGGGGCCGCGGGGACGCGGGGCGGGGGTGCGGCCGGGCCCCGCGGACTTTCGCCCGTCTGGGAGCCGTTACAAGGTTTCAGGTGGAGAGCAGGTACTCTGGAGCATCGCCCGTGGCCGGGAAGTTAGGAAGGGAGGTGTTTCCTGCACGTGGTTTTCGGGCAGTGAATTTTATTACATGTCAGTTTGGGTAGTCGTTCAGTCGTGTCCGATTCTTTGTGACCCCATGGACTGTAGCCCGCCAAGTTCCTCTGTCCATGGAATTTCCCAGGCAAGAATACTGGAGTGGGCTGCCATTTTCTACTCTAGGGGATCTTCCCAACTCAGGGATCCAACCCAGGTGTCAGGTATTGCAGGCAAATTCTTCACCATAGCAACTAAAAACAAAAACCAGTCTAAAGTTTAAGCTGTATAGTGCTTGCAGTAATACACAGTGTTCACTTGAGATTAAAATCGAATGTCATCTGCTTTGCCGAAAAGGGAGCCTGGCCGTGTGTGGCTCATAGCCTGGAACCCCAGAGTTCTTGGAAGCTGGGGTCCCCACACATGGCCACCGTGAACAGACAGTGTTGAGAGAGAATGGGAAGCTGCTCAAATATCCGACTTTCGAAACTTGAGCACAATGACTTTGAAAAGTGTGAGGAATTTGGGAAATTAAAAAGCAGAAGTGTCTTAGCCGCTGTTGGCCAGGGTGACCCTGGGAACAGTTTAAAAGCAAGGGTCCAGTTGACGCTGAGGGTCTTGAAGGCTCTGCATGCAGGTGGTGTTGATGTCTCAGTGAGGCTGTGTGGAGGGCACCTTGGCTCCAGGGAGAGACTAGGGAGATTGGACCCAGGAGGAGCACCTAGCCACACCTTGGGCAGAGGTGAAAGTGAGGCCACAATGGGTGGGTGATGAAGGCAGAGTTAGAGCTGGGTGGCTCTGGAAGGGCTAGGTTCAAAATCACAGAGAAGCCCGCACAGCTGGAGTCCTCGGGCACTGCGGGGACAACAGGAGGGACAGGCCAGCTCTGCTGTCCTTTGGGCATCTGCCGGGGCTGGTGCCCCTGGACCGTGCTGTGGGTGCCTGGAGAGCAAGGTGGGTTCTCCCCTGGCGCTCTTGCTGGTGCCCTGGGGACATGTTTACGGAGCCCAATCATGGTGCACGCTGCTCTGCCGCCCCTCCGAGGGGTCTGTCCCACCGTCGTCCTTGCTGGTGATCCTGCTGGTGATGGTGACCTTGGTGCCTGGTGCTGGAGGAAACGGGGCAGAGACTAGACTGTGGGCCTGTGGGCTGCTCCCCAGACCTGGGCCTTCTCGCAGTCTGGCCTGCAGCAGAAATTCCTCCTGCACAGCCGGCGCAGGTCTGTGCAGCTCCTGCCCCAGGGAGTATCAGCTTGCAGGAGCCCAGTTTGAGCTGTGGCATTGGCTCCGGACCCAGTGGGGGCCCGCACTTGCCCACAGGGAGGACTTTTTGAGGATGGTTTAGAACATCCATGTGTTCTGTGATGAAAGCCTCTATGCTTGGATATGGGCCAGCGGGGGAGAGCCTGGGGGAAGGGGTGTGGGCAGGGAGGTGAGAGAACTGGCCTTACTTGTCCTCACCTGTAGGCATCTCTGAGTCTTTTACAGCATCTGCGTTCCTGGGGCAAGTTTCTAAATTCACGAAGGATGCTGCTGCTTGGGGAAGAGGTGGGGCTACCTGGTCTCAGGCGGAGCCACCCCAGGGCACACTGGGCAGCAGGATGAGCCTACAGGGCTCACTGGGCACAGGACGAGCTTACAGGCTGCTTTGCTCTGGGCTTCAAACCGCCAGCCCTGCCCCAGTGCTTCCATCGCTGGCCTCTCCTGTGCCAGGGTGGGACCTGGTGGGGCCTTTAGTGTTGTTGCCCCTGACAACACAGAGGCACAAGGGGACCGGTAGGTCCCTGGACCACACCTCAGCATCAACCCTGCTCCTGCTTCTTCAGTGAGTGTTGGCTGGGGCTCTTCCACAATAGCTGGGTGGCTAGGACGGACTGTGTGGCCTGCACAGCCTAGGTTATTTACCACGTGTCCCTGGGTGGGCAAGCTTGCTAGCCCAACAGCAGACAGTCGGCCCACATCCACTCCGTGTTTCTGACCGTCCTCAGAGTCGGCATGTATGATGTCATGTTTCCCACAGCTGACTGCTGGCTCTCAGGTCCCTGATTCTGCCTCATCTGCCTCTGGGTTGAACTGGGATTTGTCTGAGACCTGACTTACCCTTCCATGAGGCTGCCCAGGCCCACAGACTCCCTGACCTCTGGCCGGGGCTCTCAGGAGGTGGGAGAAGGCTGCCCGCTCCCAGCTGGGTGCTTTCACTTTCCATTTCCGATCTTCCTTATAAAAACAATGAGACACAATAAAGTCAGACACTGGGCAGAGGCTGCCACCGGGCAGAGGTGATGGCCTAGAAACCTTTGCCCTTAGGGTGCCGTGTGGCCCCCTGATGTCTGTTGGAGCGCCAGGCTCAGGGCAGCTGTGTCAGCCTTGGGGTGGTGTGCACCGTTTGACGCTGGTTTGGGGATGAAGGCGTATGACTCACCCATGCTTTTGCTTGGACTGGAGATGATCCCCGAGGCCTGATCCCCACAAGACAGTGGGGTTCTGTTATTCACTGGGGTTGAGAAACCATAGACTGTCCCAGTCTTGGAGCTGGAGGTGGCACAGTGATTCCTGGACAGGTGGTGGGTGTGTCTTCCAGCGGTCACCCCTGGCCCCTGTCCTGATTCCTTCCTGCCTCATCACCTCCTTGCCTGGCAGAGCCCCCCTCTTTCCCTGTCTAGCACCCCCTCGCCACCATTCTGAATCCTGTGAAGGACCTTGCCCCTCCCACCTTCTGGGTCTGCCCGCAGCTAGGAGGGGTGCCCCTCTGTTTCACTCAGCCTAGAACTGCGCTGGGCAGAAGGCACCTGCTCAGCCCATTTGAATGAAGATGGCAGGAATTTGGGGTGTGGTGTGGGCGGGTAGAGGAGAAAGCTGAGTGGTCGGGGTGGCTGTCTTCCCCTGGGGCCCGCACCCCTGGGCTGCCGGTCTGCGGTGGCCGCATGACTGTGCTGAGCCCCCACTGGCCCCCCCGGGCGGATGTCTCCTGGACCCTTGGGGGCGGTTACCCAGCTCACTTCTGCCCCATGCTGCCTCCAGCAGAACTCATGCTTACTCGGAGTTCTGTGTGTTCATCTGTTCAGCACCCACTGCGGGGCCGGCCTCTTGCCAGGCAGTGTTTTAGGGACTTGGAATAAGTAGTGAGCAAAACATTGAAAACTCTGGGTGCTTGCCTCCGAGAAAGTCACACCAGTCCCCGTCATCCCCAGCCGAGGCGTGGATTCAGACAACGCTGTGAACTCACTGCTGCTCTTCCCAGAGAGGCCTGCCAGTCACTGTATCTACCCAGTGGTGGTCAGGTGGCTGCCACATGCCTCCAGGGTCACCTGTGAGCCTGCAGGGCAGGAGGGGGATCAGGGCAGTGCCGGGGACCGGCCAACTCCAACGAGGAGTGGGGGATGGCCGGCTCCTGTGAGTGGGAAGCAAGCCATTCTGAGTGGTGTGGCTGTAAAACCAGGGACATGAGCCGTGTGTGGCCCTGGGGAGCTTGTCAGGGCTTTGCGTGATTGGGAAGGAGGCAGGGAGTCCTGCTGGGGGCTGGGAGCCCAGGTGGACCCAGACAGCCGCTCCCCCTGCCTTCCAGTTGCTGCATCTCGCCAGGAGACTTCTGGGGCAAAGGTTGTTCAACACGCTGATGAAGATGACCTTCTATGGGCAGTTTGTGGCTGGCGAGGACCAGGAGTCCATCCGGCCCCTGATCCAGCACAACAGGGCCTTTGGCGTGGGCTCCATCCTGGACTACGGTGTGGAGGAGGACCTGACGCCCGAGGAGGCTGAGCGCTCGGAGATGGAGTAAGGGCCACGCGACGCCCGTGGCGGGGACGGGTTGGGACCGCCAGGGGAGCTCTGGCTGCCCCACCTCTGCAGCCCTCCTGGGCCTGCCTGGGGTTGGGCCTTTGTCCCGTGAGGAAGACGGCCTGAGCCTTCACCAAGGCCTTGTGTGCCCGAGGCTGGGGCTGGCCAACCCTGGCCCGCAGTCTGATCCTCCTGGTTTTGGACAGTCTGCAGGCTAAGGGTCATGGCTGCAGTTTTAAATGGTTGAAGCAAAGCAAGAGTAATACCTTGTGATACGTGAAAATTATATGAAGTTCAGGTTGCTGTCACCCTATGGGGGGGTGGCGGCAAAGTTGAGTGGCTGTGGCACAGACGACCACACTGGCATTGGTGGTCCTCTGGCCTCCTGGTGAAGCATCTCTTCTGAGGATTCTGACCCCCAGGGTGATCCCTCTGCCTGGCCCCTTAGACTGTTTCCTGATCAGCAGCTGGGCTTGTCCTGGTAGGTGTGGAGCCTGCCCGGGGGCATCCGAGGAAAATGGAATGTGCCGGCTTCATGTGGCGGGCCAGCCCAGTGGCTCCTGCTGAGGTCACTGACTGGCTGCAGGGGTCTGTTCTCTGGGCAGGGGGTGTGGGGACAGGTGGGCACCCCCCACCCCCCCCTCCTGGGCCACAGGATGGGCCCCCCATTGGAGGCCCAGGCAGATCCAACCCTTGCTTTGCAGAAGGGTTGTTCTGCCTGGTTGTTCTGCCTGGTTGTTGGGCTGGTTTCTGCTCCCCTCCAGGCCAGGCCGTGCTGAGTCCTGATAGCAGCTGTGCCTGAGCCAGTGAGACTGGGGAACTGGCTCCCTGAGTTGCCTGCCCCACCTCAGGTTTGGTGTTTTCTCTGACCAGGGGTGGGGAGGTGACGGGTCAGAGGAGACTCCAGCCCTGGGAACGGAATGTCCCAGCGGAGCTGCTGCTGGATTGGCTTGGGGAGCCAAGCCCCTGTCTCTCAATTTGCTGTCGGGAAGGCGGGGTTCTCCAGTTCTGCACCCCCTGTTCCTGGGGGCTGGTGGCTGGTGGCTGCCCGGGGCTACCTTTTGAATAACTAATGGGCCGTGTCCCACTGGGTCTGGGTGGGGGCTGGTGGTTTCACAATGGAAGTTCTTTCTCTGGTATGAAAAGCCTCCTTTCCCCAGGCAATTCGCTCTGCAGAGGATTGCTGGGAGGCTGGCCAGCTCGCTATGACGAGGGCATGGAGCCCGTGACCCTGGGCGGCTGGTCCTGCTGGAGCCCTGCTGGCTGGCCTCTGGGCTGTGAACTGCGGTCCCTCCCTGTCCTCACGTGGCAGCCTGTCTGCAGCTGCCAGGCCACCTGGTGTGCTCGGTGGGGCCAGGCTGAGGGTGCGGAACTGGGCTCATGGGTGCTGATCCAACATCCAGCCATCTAGCTCCTGCGGGGGGAACAGAGCGGTTACAGGCCCCTAAACCCTGCCCCGGGAATGATGCTGATGCCCCTGCCGCTGGGAGGAGGGGCCTGGGGGGCTTCCCAGGGTGGGAAGTGGGAGGCAGAGCGGCCATCCAGGCAGGGTAGGACAGTGGTTCCCAGAACACTTGTTAGAAGGCGGAGGCCAGGGTCCTCGGTCCAGGAGAGGAGCCCCCCAGGGCACCCCCCAGCAGGCGGAGCACCACAGGGCCGGGGAGAGGGCGAGGGCGAGGTTTCTTCCCGATGATGGGCTGTGACAGTGGCTAGGACATTGTGGATGGCAGACATGTCTGTCCTGGCTGTGCCAGGCCTGGCCTGGGTCCCCAGGGTGAAGGTCGTGGCTGGGATTGTGTGCGGGGTCTTGGTTGCTGCCTGGAATCAGGGCCTGGGGCCGCCATGCTTCTCTCCTGCCTCCCGCCTTTAATCAGGGCAGAGCTGGTGGTGGTGTAGCCACGCATTCTGGGAAACAAGCTCACTCAGAAGGACAATGCAGATAGTGGAGTGCAGTTTATTACACTGGCGGGCCCAAGGCAGAGTCTCCTCTTAGCCAAGGACCCCGACCCATGTTTGTGAAAACCTTATATACCCTGAGTGTATAAGTTTCCCTGAACCTAGTCTGAAAAAGGAAAAAGAAAGATACAGTTAAAGTTACCCCGTGATTCATATGTCTTAAGCCTAGGTAGTTAACAGTGGACAATTATCAATAGGCCTGTGGTCATACCCCAATAAGCATAATAGAATGTATGATACTGTTAGGTAGTTAGAATAGGGAAAAACAGTCCAAAATGGCGGTGGCTAAAAGACCTGGAAGGGAAAGCCCGCGAAAATAGAACAAAGGAAGGTCTGAGGACCGGAGTGAGAACCTCAGGTAAAACCAACAACACTCCTGGCCGGCCCAATTTACATAAGACAGGCCCAGGGACAGAAACATATAAAAAGAGGAGCCAAAGCCCTCTTCTCTCTTTTTTTGCTCTCTCTCTCTCTCTCTCTCTCTCTCTCTCTCTCTCTCTCTCTCTCTCTCTCCCCCCCCTCCCTCTCCCCCGCGCGGTGGGGCGATCTTCTCTTCACGTCTTTGGATCAACGTGCCCTCATGCCTCAAAGATGGATTTTCCTGCTAATATCTAAATAAATAGAGCTGTAACACTGAGCTGTAACGCTGATTTATTTAAGAGCTATAACACGGTCCGTTCGAGACCTGAGAGCTATAACACGGTCTGTCCTCCGAGAGCTGTGACCCGCCAAGGGGCTTTAATGTCCGTCACTCCAAATTTTTGTTGTGACGAGACACCGAGGAACATACACTCGCGTGACAATACTATTCGGTTACACAGATAATTAGGGTATTCTTTTAGGCATGGAGAGCCCTGGGGCTCTTCCTTCCGGGGGCCTGGTTTTCCAGTGGTATGTTGTTTCCATAGATACTGGGCATATAGCTCAAAGTCCACAGTCCGGCCCAAGATGGAGTCCTGCTTTCAAGATAGAGCCTGTTTTGTTTCCTCCTTCAGTGTGGGGGTAGCCAGCGTGGTCTCTCCTCACCTCTTATGTGTGTGTGCATTCTCAGTCGTGCAGTCGTGACTGACTCTTTGCAACCCCGAGGACTGCAGCCCACCACACAGGTCTATGAGATCCTCCAGGCAAGAATACTGGAGTGGGTTGCCATTTCCTTCTCCAGGGGATCTTCACCACCCAGGGACTGAACCTGTGTCTCTGCAGTGTTCTGCACTGGCAGGTGGGTTCTTTACCACTGTGCCACCTGGGGACCCCCCCCCCCCCACTTTTAATTTTTTCCTATAAGGCATCCAGCCAGCAAATCTCCTGATGTAGAGCTGAGCTTAGAGATGGTTGAAGGCGCGGTCCGGGACTTTCTGTCATTCCTGCCATTCTGTCCTGTGCCTGCCCCTTCCTGGTACACTGTGTTCCCTTCTTGATGTCAGGCGAGTGTATGCTCCTTGGTTTTTGTCTCGTCACAACAAAGATTTGGAGTGACGGACATTAAAGTCTCCTTGGCGTGTCACAGCTCTCGGGTTTGGGACAGTCCGTGTTATATTTAGGTCTCGAACGGACTGTGTTATAGCTCTTAGACAAATCAGTGTTACTGATTTACTCTATTTTATTTAGAAGATAACAGGAAAATCCATCTTCAAGGCGTGAGGGCACGTTGATCCAAAGACTCGAAGAGAAGAGTGCCCCAGCGTGCGGGGGGCGGAGAGGGAGAGAGAGGGAGAGAGAGAGAGAGAGAGAGAGAGAGAGAGAGAGAGAGAGCTAGCTTTGGCTCCTCTTTTTATATGTTTTTCTCTCCCTGGGCCTGTCCTATGTAAATTGGGCCAGCCAGGAGTGCTGTTTGTTTTGCCTGAGGTTCTCACTCCAGTCCTCGGACCTTCCTTTGTTCTATTTTTGTGGGCTTTTCCCTTCCAGGTCTTTTAGCCATTGCCATTCTGGACTCCTTTCCCCTCTTCTAACTACCTAACATTCCCCCCTCAAGAGATGGGAGGCCCAATTCTTTGGGAATAGGGGCGTTGAGGTCTTTCTGGCTATGAACTGGGACGGCAAGGGGTATTGGGCCTCCCCCTCTTGCTAGTCTCAGGCCTCAGAGTCCTTATAGCGGTGTCCATCTAAGAGTGAGTGCTATTTTCCATGGTCGGTTGTAGTTTTATATCTTTGTTGAACTGGCACTGCATGTTGCAGCTTGACCTGGGCAGAGACAAGACAGGTTAGACAATTGACAGTACATGGAGCAGTCATAAGCAGCATCAATATGGCATAACAAGGACTAGTAGGGGCATTAGCCAATTCCAAATTCACATCGCCAGGGTGGCTCAAGTCCCTCCTTGATTAGGGATCAGAAGGTCTATCTCCTGTCTGTTTTGGAGTACTATCCCTGCCAAGCTGTGTTGGCTCTTTAGAGTTATCCTGAGAAATCTTATCCCCAGAGACCAGACTTTGGGGTTGTTCATTAGAATGGCACTCATTTGTAGTTTTGAATAGGCATCTGAGATCTCCCAGGGGCTCACAGGTGTATTGAGTGTCCCCTTCTAACTACCTAACATCCACATCTTGGGCTGTGCATGTATGTGTGTGCCTGCACACCCATGTGTGCGTGTCTGCATGTGTGGCCGCACATGTGGGCACATGTGTCTGCATATGTGTTCACATACATGTGCACACAGCTGCACATGTGTGTGCATGTGGTGCATGGCTGTTTGCACATGTATGTGCATGTGTCTGCACGTGTGCATGCCTGCCTGCATGTCTGCGCACACACATGTCTGCATGTGTTTCTGCATGTGTATGTGTGCATGTATGTTTGTGTGCACATGTGTGTCTGCACGTGTGTGCGCATGTGTGTGCACACAGGGCTGCATGTGTGTGTGTGTGCATGTGTGTGCATGCACAGAGTGTGCTCCCCCTTCTCCCCATGCTGAGATGACACCCCCTCCCCCCAGCCTGTCAGCTGCCCCTTTTGTCTCCCGGAGGCCCCACCCCCTCACATGCCTGCTTGAGAACCACAGCCCTGTCCCCCCAGTGCTGTCTGCTCAGGCTGGGCCCTGGCCCCACATGCAGCTGTGTGGCTGGTTGCTCCCCATGGTTTTGGAGCCTGGCTGGGGCTTGGAGGGCAGACTGGGACTGTCTGGGACTGGGACCTGGGACTGTCACTGGCCCCGGCCCTGGGGGCCTCTGAACGATGGTGTCCCCTCTGTGGCGGGCAGTCGCCTGAGAGGTGGACACTGGACTGGGCGCTGATGGAGCAGGCCTGAGCCCCCACAGCTTCGGTGTGGATGGGGGCCGTGGCATCCCTCCACCCTGCTGGGCCACAGCTGCGGTGCCTCCTCCAGGGTGGCCTAGGGTCCTGCCCTTGGGAGGACCTGGTTGTTCAGGTGTGATGGCCGGGGCGGCCAAGGGAGGGTGTGCGCTGGAAACATGCCTCCGGGTTGCGGGTTTGAAAGTAACCCTGCGTTGCATGGGTGGGTGAGAGCCGTGAGGGAAGGGCTCTGTGGCCTTGCTTGGAAGCTGGTGGCCACCCTCTCTCTGGTCGGGGCCCCGCCTTTTCCTCTCGGGAAGGACCTACCCAGGCCTCGGGTTGTGTGTTGCTTTGCTTGCCCCTCATCCGCTGTAGGGAGGGGCTCCCCGGGGTGGGGGGGGAGACTGTGGGGTGCGGGGCTTGGTGGCATAGCCATGTCTGCCAGGCTCAGAGGAGGTGACCTTGGAGGGTGGGGTGGGTGGGGCAGGGCGCTCCTGCCTGGCAGGTGAGCTGCCCCCCTCGTCAGCGTCTCCCCGCCTGCCCTCCTCAGTGGAGGCCTGACCCTCCCCGTCCCCTTCCACCTGCAGGTCCTGTTCCTCAGCCTTGGAGCGTGACGGCCACGGTGAGTTAGGGGAGCCGGTCAGGAGTGAGCTCTCTCCCCGCCGCACACACCCCTTGGCTTGGGGCCCAGGGCTGCTGCTGCAGCTCCAGTCCGTGTCCCCAGGTACCTGGATGGGTGACACACCCTCCTGGCCCTCCTGGGGGTCTGGGCTCTGCCTTCCCGGCATGGGTGTGACCCGGGCTGAGTCAGGGAGCAGGCATGGGCCGCTTTGGAGGCAGAGCGGGGGCAGCTTCGGCGGCAGGGGTCATGTGTAGGGCGGCGGTGGGAGGGTACTCAGGCTGGCGCCCCTGCCCCCAGGTATCAGTAAGAGGGAGAAGCAGTTCCAGGCACACCGGGCCTTCGGGGACCGCAGGGACGGGGTCACCAGTGCCCGCACCTACTTCTACGCCAGTGAGGCCAAGTGTGACAGCCACATGGAGACCTTCCTGCGCTGCATCGAGGCCTCAGGTGAGGCCTGCCCGGCCCCCGCTCCAGGGATGCTGGGGGGCGAGCTCAAGGCGGGGGCTGGAGTGCTCACCCAAGCTTTGGTCCGCATCTAGGTGGCCGAGGTCGGGAGGCGGCCTGGGCTCACACACCTAGTCCAGCCCCTTGCTTCCTGAGGAGCCTGGCTGGCCCCAGGTGCCCAGATGCGGACCTGTTGGGGGGGCTTGGATCTCGTCACATGGCACTTGGCTTTGCCGAGGGCAGCACCGTCCCAGGGGCTGCAGCTGCGCCCTCCCGGATGGAAATGCTGCCCCGTGTGGCCCCGGGGCAGGACCACCGGCTCACAAGGCGAGCTTAGCCGGAAGACACACAGGCCTCAGTGTGCTTTCGTCTCAGAAATCCAGCGGGTCCCCAGCAGCTCTCCTGTTAGGGCCCTGACACTTTGTGAACACTTTAGGGACAGGAGTGAGGACCACCCAGAGGCAGCCTGCCGGGGTCAGCATCGGGCGCCTGATTGGTTGCACAGACAGTGGCTGCCTGGTGTCCAGGGCTCAGGGCGTCTCCTTGGTTCTGGCCTGGGGACGGATGAACAGAGGTGTGATCGTGGGCTTCCAGCAGCCAGACGAGACGGACAGAGGCGGTGGAGCGCTGTCTGCCTCCTGCCGGTGCTCTGCGGGCAAGTCTGTGCTCTCTGTGCCCTCAGGGCAGCCCTGGGTGCTGAGACCACCGGAGAGGAACCGGGCGGGCGAGCGTGGGCAGGTCTCCCTCGCTCCCTGGCCCCCCGCCTTCCTGACCGCACGTGGCCAGCTCCAAGTTCGCTGAGTAGCCTGCCTGCCTGTGGTGGCGTCAGGGGCAGCCGTGCGCAGGGCGTTCACAGGCCACATGGGGCTGGTGTCCTTCTGCCCTGGCTGGTCACCCGGCCCAGGTGTCTGGATCCTCAAAGGGCCCTCCCCTCCCGCTGCCGCTCCCGCAACCTGAAATTGCCAGGCAGCCACCAGAGCTGATTCCAAGGGCCTGGGTGTGAGGGTGGACAGGTGTCCTGGGAGGATGGGTGTGCTGGTACCACCGACCGTCTCACTGGGTGGATCATTTGAGTGAGATCATTAGCACTTTCTGGGGGTCTCAGGGCCGGATGTCATGGGTAACCCATAGAAGGTGTGGCCCCCGCCCGCCGCCTGCAGCCTCCTGCATGTTGCTGAGACATGTCCTAACTGGTGTGGCACAGATTCTGGGCTCAGGGTCCCCCCAGCCCTCAAGGCCTGATGGCTCTTCCTGTGGCTTCTCACAGGCAGAGCCAGCGAGGATGGCTTCTCAGCCATTAAGCTCACGGCGCTGGGGAGACCGCAGTTTCTGGTGAGTGTCAGAACACACCCCCCCCTCCCCCCCGCAGAGGGTTGGTATGAACGCGGGCACTGTGAGCATTAAGTGAAGGTGCCTTCACTCACGTGCCGGTGCCGGGGCTCTGGGCGCACCCAGGCGGACTCAGGGCGCTCGGGCTGGGAGCCTGGCGCACAGGTGGGGTTGGGGGCTTGGGCTGCAGGGGGTCCCGGGAGGGGCTCACGGGCGCCTGGGTGGAAGCTCAGGGCTGGCGTCCGCAGCTGCAGTTCTCGGACGTGCTGACTAAGTGGAGACGCTTCTTCCACCACGTGGCTGCTGAGCAGGGCAAGGCCGGGCTGGCCGCCGTGGACACGAAGCTGGAGGTGGCCGCGCTGCAGGTGGGTGCCCCTCCCTGGTGGCTGTGGGCAGGTGGGCCACGAGGAACCCTGCCCAGGAGGCCCAGCTGTGTGTGAGCCCTGCCACTTCTCCAGGGCCTGTGTGCAGGCGGGTGCTGGGTGGGAGGGGGGCCCCGCAGGGGTGGGGCAGGCATGTGGGGAGCCTTGGGGGGTGGCGGGCAGCAGGGAGAGGCTGTCTGTGGAGCAGAGACCTGAGGCAGAAGGTAGCTGGGTCTCGTGCTGGTGTGAGGAGGTCAGCTTGGCATCACAGGCCAGCAGGCAGGGCAGGAGGTGCTTGCGAGCGGGGCCGGGAGCAGGGCGAGGCCAGGAGCAGGGCGGGGAGGGACTGATGCTCCCCGCTTCTGCAGGAAAGTGTGGTTAAGATGGGCATCGCGTCCCGGGCAGAGATTGAGGACTGGTTCACTGCGGAGACACTGGGCGTGTCTGGGTAGGCGGAGCCCTGCTGAAGTCCCCCGGGGGTGGCCACCTGCATCTAGGCGGGGTTCTGGCTGAGCCTCAACGGCCTCTCCCGATCTTGCTAACTCTCCGCTAGGTCATGGGAACCCTGAACCCCAGAGCTTCCCAGGGAATTGTCTGGGTTCTCGAGTGGGGGTGCTACACCCCGCTGTCCCGGGCCTTCCGGGCAGGCGGGTGGAGGGTGAGGGCAGCTGAGATCCTCTGAAGGGTCTTGTGTCTCACTTCCGTTTCATAACCAGAGGATGTACTATTTGCATTTGTATCTGTATTTCAAGGCAGGCCCCGTGGGGGTTGGTCTGGGGGCGCTCCTGCAGGGAGGGGGCTGGTGTGGGGCCTGGGCCTGCGGCAGGCGCAGGCATGCCTCTTCCTGCAGCACGCTGGACCTGCTGGACTGGTGCAGCCTCATCAACAGCAGGACCGAGCTCTCCAGGCACCTGGTGGTCCCCAACATGCAGGTGACGTGCCCCGGCCAGCCAGTCCCTGCCTCACGGTTCCCACAGGGTTGTTGTGGGGGGCCCCACACACAGAGCTGGGGCTTCCTCGGGGAGGCACGGGTGTCACCTCGTGTGGGGTCAGTCTCCTTGGATGCAGGCCGGGCCTGCACAGGAGCCAGCTTCCCAGAGGCAGCGCAGTCCTGGTGGCTGGGGGACCCTGGGCGGGCCAGTGGCCTTCACGTGTGGACACAGCAGGGTGGGGAGAGGGGCCGGGGTACCAGGCCCGGGACGTTGGGGCACAGGGCACAGGTTGCCCATGGGAGTGGGCCGTGCTGGCCTAGGGGCCCAGGCATGGAGCCGACCTTGACCAGATGGCCCTGTCCCCCAGACGGGACGGCTGGAGCCCCTGCTGTCACGGTTCACAGAGGAGGAGGAGCGGCAGATGACACGCATGCTGCAAAGGATGGACGTGCTGGCCAAGGTGGGGTGCCCGGGATGTGCTGGGGTAGGGGGGGTTGCCCCGGGATGTGCTAGGGTCAGGGGGTGCCCTGGAAGCACTGGGGTTGGGTTGGGGGTGCCCCAGATGTGCTGGGGTTGGGATGGGGGCTCCCCAGATGTGCTGGGGTTGGGGGGTACCCAGGATGTGCTGGGATCAGGAGAGTGCCCCAGACGTGCTGGGTCGGGGGGGTGCCCGGGACGTGGTAGGGTCGGGGGGGTGCTTGTTCACCTGCGCCCACACAGACCTCCTCCCCTGCGTCCTTCAGAAAGCCAGCCAGGCGGGTGTGCGGCTGATGGTGGATGCGGAGCAGACCTACTTCCAGCCAGCCATCAGCCGCCTGACGCTGGAGATGCAGTGCAGATTCAACGTGGAGAGGCCGCTCATCTTCAACACGTTCCAGTGCTACCTCAGGGTGTGCTCCCGCCCCACGCTGGGGGATGAGGGGCTGCAGGAACATGGATGGAGCAGCTTTCTGAGTCTACTTAAAGTGCCTCAACCCCCAGGTTTTGAGTGGCTGTCTTCTCTGGCCCTTTGCATCCTGGTTCTCTCCAAGCATCTGACGCAGGCTCTGGGCCCCCGCCCAGACTTGTGCATGTGCTTCAGGGACCCTGAGTGCAAACCCTGGGTGGCCGCTCGAGGCCCAGCTGGGTGTTCAGAGGGGCCAGGGGTCAGCGTCGGGGCTTCGGGGACAGGGCAAGTGGGTGGGTGGGGTCCCGACAGGTGCTGACGGCTTGCAGAGCCCCCGCCAAGTGACCACAGCTGCTGGCTACACGCTGGGGGCACCAGGCCCCAGGGAGGCTCCACTGGGGGACACAGGCCAGAGGGAGTCTCATCCCAGTTGTCCTTGACCTCTGGCGCGGCCCACAGGATGCCTACGACAATGTCACCCTGGACGTGGAGCTGGCTCGCCGGGAGGGCTGGTGTTTCGGGGCGAAGCTGGTGCGCGGTGCGTACATGGCTCAGGAGCGTGCCCGTGCACTGGAGGTGGGCTACGAGGACCCCATCAACCCCACGTACGAGGCCACCAGCATCGTGTACCACAGGTGGGTGGCGCCTGGCTCCCAGGGGGCAGGGCTCCGGATGTGAGGGGCTGGCCGGGCGTCTCGGGGGGCCAGCCTCCGTGATCTTGGACGCACGACTCCAGCTGAGTGGGACAGTTGCTTCTCCCCGTGGTCCCGGAACCCCGGGCTGGCCTGTGGCCTCTGCCCCCGGGGGGCTGTGCGGCCTGGCTCATGCATCCCCCTCCAGGTGCCTGGACTATGTCCTGGAGGAGCTGAAGCACAACGCCAGGGCCGCAGTGATGGTGGCCTCGCACAATGAGGACACCGTGCGCTTCACTCTGCACAGGTGGGTCCTGCCCACCCCCCCCCCCATGCCCTGGGCTGCGCTGCAAGCATGAGGCAGGTGGGGATTTCGGGGGACATCTGTGGCCACTGGACCTCCTGGGCCTGGCTGGGTGTCTTGCTGCAGTAGCAGAAAGGCTGCCTGCAGTTCCTGTGGCTTTTAGCATTAATACCTGATTTCCTCAGGTTTCTGATTAAAAATAAATGTCATCAGGTGATTCACACAGCGTGAAATGTTGGCGACCTGAGACGTGTCACCTCATTTATAGACAGCTCCGCAGCACTTTAAACTGCGCTTGGGATTTAACGTGGTCTGTGTCCCCATGGGGTAGCCTTGTAAGTCACAGATAGGAATGAGGTGAAATACATTCCTTTTTATTTTTGGCATTGATTCGTGACTTGTGGGATCTTAGTTCCCCAGTGCAGTGCTCAGTCGCTAAGTTGTGTCCGACTCTTTGTGACCCCTATGGACTGTGGGCCGCCAGGCCCCTCTGTCCATGGGATTCTCCAGGCAAGGATACTAGAGTGGGTTGCCATTTCCTCTTCCAGGGGATCTTCCCAACCCAGGGATTGAACCCCAGTCTCCTGTGTCTCCAGCGTTGCAGGTGGGTTCTTTACCCGCTGAGCCATTGGGGAAACTCCTTAGTTCCCCAACAGGGATCACAGCTGTCCCCCCAGCAGTAAAGGTGCCGAGTCCTAACCATGGGAGATTCCTCGTCCTATGTTCTTTTATCTCATATCTCAACCGAACCTGGACCCCACCAGGGGTTCTGGCTCCTCCCCGCCCCCCACAGGAAGCTGGGTGCATGGTGGCCTGGCTGGCCCGCGCCTTCCCCAGGAGCAAGGCGGGCCCTTCTCCCACAGCAGGTACCCCTAGCCAAGGCCTGGGTACTGGAGGTGCCGAGGTGTGCCCGGGGCACTTGCCGGTGCTGCCTGGGGTGATTGGTTGCCCTGAGCGGTTCAGCAATGTCCTGCTTGGCCTTCTCCTGCCAAGGGCTGCTTTTCCGCAGCCTGAATCTGCAGCTCAGAGCCACGATTTCTGATGCCTGCCCTTGAAACCGCCATTCTGGGAACAGGAGCGTGGAGGCCACGGGTGGCCTCTGAAGTCCTGTGGTGGAGGTCAGGTGTTTCCTTGGTGTGGGGCGGTCCGACTGGCGTCCTGGCTGGGTGGGCTGTTCTGCCTTCTCTTCCTCCCTGGAGCCTCCTTGGACACCCCACCCCGTCCTTGGATGTGAGGTGGCCAGGGGCACCCTTCTGTGCTCAGAGGAGATGAGTTCTGGCTTCCTTGACTTTGGAAGAAACACAGGATTGAGTCGCAAATTTTAAAAGCTGGTTTTTTCTTAGGCTTAAAACACAATCTTGTGCTGGAGCCTTGATCAAGGCTAGTTCCTCTGTGCTCAGGGTCCCCCCGACGGCGTTCACAGAGGCCCTGCTGGCGCCCACATCCTTAGGTCCCATCGCAGTCTCAGCTGCCTGTGGCTGCCCTTTTGCACTTCAGCTTTTGGTCCCAGGCCAGTCCTCTCAGCCTGACTGGGCAAGGACCATGAGACTGCTGAAAGTGTAATTGTCCACAGAAGGCCTCCTTTCTCCTAACTTCAGGATCGTTCCACCAGAGCTGGTCTGGCCTCCCATCTTGGCCCGGTCCTGTGATCCTAGACGTGGCTTCCCTGACCCGAGTGCCCTGCCGTCCCATTCCCCGCAGCCTGGGCAGGCCGTTCTGGGGGAGCCTCTGCCCTGCAGGCAGGCTGGGTTCTTGCGTCCTGCTCCAGAGGCCCTGGGCCCAGAAGAGTTTGGGCTGGTCTTCCCGGGGAAGCGCTGTGGCCTCTGGTGCCACATGTTAGGGACCCCGTCAGAGAGTCTGGGTTAGGTTTGGCCAAGTCATGAGCCCACTCACAGCTCGGGGGCCTGTGCACAGTATTTTGTGAGCCAGCAGGGTAGGCGGGCCTGGCCTGGGGTTGTCCTGCGTCCGTGGTCAGCTGGGGTCCCGTTGGCCCTGAACAGCTTCATCTGTGGCTGGGGCAGTGAAGGACACTGGCTCCCAGGTTGGATGTCCAGCAGGCTAGCTCAGGCTTCTCCACAGGTGGTCTCAGGCTTCCAGAAGCCCTGGAGATAGCAGGCCTTTGCCCGTGTGATGTTTGCTATGGTTCTGTGGGCCAGAGGGAGTCAGGCCCAGCTCAGGTGTCGCCGGGTGGATGGAGAGCCTCTCCTGTGCTGGGGCAGCTACAGTCACACAGCTGTGGGCATGGGCTGGCACAGAAGGGGCTGCAGCGGGGGGGGTCGGGAGGGGCAGATCTCACAGGATGCCACGTGCGTCTTCCCAGACTGGGGCCCGACCTCGGAGCCCAGCCCCGGGGGAGGGAGAGAAGGGTCTGTGGGATGCCCCTTGTGTGGACGTCCAGGGTGAGGTGCGCTGGGTGCTCTGGCGAGAAGGGTGGTGGGCTCCAGGGATGGGATGGGGGTCCCATGATAGGCCCAGCCTGGGTGAGTGTGAGGACCCAGGTGGAGGGAGGGTGGTAGCTGCGGATCTGCCTGGTCAGGAGCCAGAGGTAAAGTGTGGGCATCACCAGTGCATAGGTATTTTGAACTCGGGATTTTTTTAAGATCCTATGACCAGAAGTGAGAGTAGGGAGGGTGTGGACCAAACTTGGGGCCCCCACCTGTGTCTGAGTGGCACTAGGAGAAATGTGAACCACAGGCATTAATCCCAAATGCTTTGCAGTCAACTTAAAAAACAGAAGTTGAATTTGATACATTTCAGTTAACCCCACATACCCAAAACAGCACCACTTAAACACGTTTTCAGAAAAGCAGTGAGATACTCTGCATTCTGTTTGCACAGTGTCTTCAGAGGCCCATGTATGTTTGATGTGTGCAGTGCATCTCAACTCAGACCATCCATCCTCCAGAGACTCGGTGGCCACCAGTGGCTGGTGACTGCACTGTGCACAGAGCAGCCAGCGAGGGGAGGGTGAGGGGCTGGTGGCAGGGTTGCGGGGCTGGGAACACAGTATTGGTACCGAGGATTTGAGGAGGGTGTGGTGAGAGGGCTGAGGGCCTCCCAGGCCATACCGAGGGCCAGCCGCTGGGTGAGTCTGCCTCTCTGGGCCGCTGGGGGCGAGCACAGCGGGAGGGGAGGCTGGCTGGGGAAGGGGACGTTTGGTGGCCTTGGCCCACGGCAGGAGCAGCTGGGCGGAGGCCTGCAGTAGGCAGGACAGAGCCTATGCCCTTCACCCCACCCTGCAGGTAGGGGTCTCAGGTGAGGGGAGAGGGGCTCAGCCCGCACTCTGCCCGTTTACAGGATGGAGGAGCTGGGCCTGCACCCCGCCAACCGCCAGGTGTACTTTGGACAGCTTCTGGGCATGTGTGACCAGATCAGCTTCCCGCTGGGTGAGGGGCCTCCCTGGGGTGGGGCTGCGGCTGGGCCTCCCGCTTGCAGGGCTGGGGCGCGGGCTCGGAGCTGGGCCTCCTTGGGGGCGGGGCTGGGCTTCTTTGGGGACTGGCCGGGTACAGGGGTGGGGCTGGGTTTCCAGGGTGCAGGGCTGGGGTGTGGGGGCGGAGCTGTATCGAGGGGTGCGGGGCTGTAGCTCGAGGGGCGGAGCTGGGCCTCCGGGGGTGGAGCCGGGGTGCGGGGCTGGATGTCCCCAGGGGTGGGACTGGGTGGGACAGGGTGCGGGGGTAGCCTCAGGGGTGGGGCTGGGGCTGGGTCTCCCCAGGGGCGGGGCCTCATCAATCCCTCCCCTGCGTGCAGGCCAGGCAGGCTTCCTGGTGTACAAGTACGTCCCTTATGGGCCTGTGATGGAGGTGCTGCCCTACTTGTCCCGCCGCGCCCTAGAGAACAGCGGGGTCATGAAGGGGGCTCAGCGGGAGCGGCAGCTGCTGTGGCAGGAGCTCAAGCGGAGGCTCTGCACCGGCAGCCTCTTCCACCAGCCGGCCTAGGCCTCCTGTACCCACACCCAGGCGGCGACGTCCCAGGGCTCCAGCCAACCCCAGCCTCACCCTGATCACCTTTTACACCTTGAGCTGGGACAGCCTGCAGGTCCCTGCTCTGTTCATGGGCAGCCAGGTGCGGGCTGAGGCCCACACCTGCCAGAGGAGCTGGGAGCCGTCAGGAACTACCTGCCCACCCCCATGACCTTGGATCTTAAGAACCACCTTCCCCAGAGTCCAACCCTGGCGCCCTGAGCCCCACGCTGGGCAGCGGCTGGCTGCGGAAGCTGGCCTGTCAATAAACCACTTTTCTACAGCATTGAGCCCTCGCTTGCGGCTGAGGGAGTGGCTCTGATGCCCTGAGAGGCCTTAGGGTCAGGCTCAGCCACTCTAGCCTCAGGCACCCCATGCAGACCCGGCCAGGCAGGGCATTGGACACCCCCGACCCCAGCCCCAGAGCTGGGCTCAGAGCAATGCAGATAGATAGCACACTCTGATGGTCAGGTTTCGTGCTTGCCCAGCCTTGGTCTTTCCCCTGAGACCCTCCTTGCCCCGTGCCCTTCACCCCTGCCCCCCAGTGACCCATACCAGACTCCTGCTGCTCTGACAACCCACGGAGCAGGCTGGCTGTGGCCCGAGTGCCCTGGGACTTGGCTGGTGAGGGGTCCCTGTGACGTGGGGGGGTGGGGGCATCTTCTAACTTCTGTAGACCACGGAGCCCCCAGATGAGGGCTGTGTGGGCCCGGTCATGACAGGCTCCACAGAGTGTCACACAAGCCATGTGCAGGCCATGCTGAAGCAGCTTTATTTCTTGGGGTCACACGCAGTTTGGAAGCCTGTCCCTCTCAGGGGCTGCACCTGCCAAGGGAGGGGCCGAGAGGGAGGCCAGGGTAGGCAGCCAGATAGCTGGGCGTGGTGTGCCCTTTGCCTGCCCATCCTCACCAGCTGGGGTGAGGGTGGAGGGGCAGGGGTGGCGTGGTCCATCTGGGTTCTCCTTACAGGGTACCCCTCCTGCAGGCCACTGGGAGGGTGGTGGCCAGGCTCCAGGAAGACCAGTGCCACGGGGTTATCTGCTGCCTGTGGTCACTGTGGGGCGGGGTGGTGCTCCCAGCTGGGACAGGTGGTGGTCGCGGGCGGCCAGGCTCACAGGGCTGCCTCCCCTGCCTGGCGGCCCCTCTGCTGCAGCTTCCGGATGAGCTCCAGGAGGTTCATCTGCAGGGTGAGCTCCTGGGGTGCAGATGGGCCCAGGGGGTCCTCCTCAGCCCTGGCAGAACCCGGGGAAGCAGCCTCCTTTCCCCAGGCACTCGAGGCGACCTCAGGGCCGAGGGGGAACCGGGCAGGGAGCCTGTGGAAAGTCTGGCCGCTGCCTGTCAGAAAGGGGCTGAAGCTGGGCCTCGGCCCGCAGCAGGGTCTGCAGCAGCCCTGGCTTGGCACACACAGAGGTGCGCAGGGATGCAGGGAACCGCGGATGAGGGCCATGTGGTGCACAGTGGGCCCGAGCAAGGTGGGCACTGCCAGGCAGGCAGCTGGCTTGTCCTCCGGTGGCAGAGGCCCCCCAGTGACCAGCTAGACCCCCAGAGGGGATGTGGCCTTTGGGGACCAGTAGCCCCTGGGCTGTGCCAGGAGAACCCCACGGCACTGACCTGTGGGTTGGTGGTCACGTAGAAGCCGGCCACCCCTGCCTTCTCCAGTGTGCTCTGCTGGTCTGCCACCTTCCGGTCCAGCTCCAGCACTATCTTCTGGTCCATGGCCCGCTGCTCCTCACGGATCCGGTGTTCCACCGCCTGCCATGGAGAGGGTGGCTCAGGGCTCAGCCTCCTGCCCACCCACCGATGTCACAGACACACTCCTAGCCTGCCACCTCTGGTCCCTCTCCCCTCCCCAGTTGCTCCAGCTTCAAGACTAAGGATGGTGTATGCACTGCACCTGCACCTATGACCCTCCCACACAGAGTCCTGTTCCCAACACCCTTCTTCCCACCTCCTGCCAGGTGGCCTCCCTTTGATCTGCTGGGTGCCACCTGGCACTGACCCCCATGAATGGCCAGATGCTGGCCCCACCTCTGCCGGCTGTCCAGCTGACCGCCATCTCTTAGCCTCTGCATGTCTCCTCCCACTAGAGCTGCCACCGCCGCACTCAGCACCTCCTTCCTGCACGTCCTGGCTTGGGGCTGCCTCGGGACCCTGTGCAGGTCTGGGCATGCACCCTCCCCTGGGGGTTCTTGGTTGTGGGTGGGCCTCTGGGTTGTTCCTGTCCATCTGGGAACAGGACTTGGTGGCTCCATCCTCCCACCACTGTCCTCGCATCCCCAAGGCGTGGGGCACAGTGGCCCCCACTCACACCTGCCCTGCAAAGGCCCAGGCTGAGGAGCTGTGGTCTGGGGGAGCACATGGAGGGGTGGGGGCACCACACACTGTTCACCCATGCCAAGTGTGCACCCCCCAGCAAAGAGCAATACATGGGCATGTCAGGCCTTTGTGGTACCCATGCTTAGCACCCCCATCCAAAGAGCAACATGCAGGCACGTCAGGCCTTTGCGGCCCAGCCCAGGTCGGCTCCCACACCACTCCGATCCCCTCCACATGGCCCTGTCAGCAGAGTGCAGGTGGGTGCCCCCCATGCCCACACCCCTACCTCGAGCTCACGCTGCTGGGCCGCCTGGAGCACAGGCAGGTTGTGGGGCCGGCAGGCCTGCTGGGCTTCCTGATGCTTCTGTCGCAGCGCCTGCCTGAGCACTGGGAGAGGACGAGACCAGAGAGGCACCGTCAGGTGGTGAAGGGTGAGGAGTGGTGAGGCGAAGGCATGTTCTGGCTGTCCCAGCACCACAGGCAGCAGGCCAGTGGTGGGGATGTGGTAGAGGCCTGCACCAGATGCTGGGCAGAGCTCCGGACACACAGCCCCCAGCCCACTCGGGCCTGCTCTCACCCAGGGTATGGTGGTCTGCAGCAGCAGGGCTCCAGACTCCTAGAGGAGGGGGAGGCCAGGCATGTGGGGTGAGGGTGGAGCCAGGGCCACAGCCTGAGCACAGGGAATTGGAAGATGGGGATGGGGGAGACTGCGGGCTGGAGGTTTCTAGGCCCACATGGCTACAGGCCAGGAGTCCGGCATGACCTGCCTATCATCTGTGGGATATCCACTGAGATGTCCCAGAGACCATGCAGGCAAAGGCCCGGGAAAGGAGGACAAGCAGGATGACCTCTGCTCCAGGGTACGGCAGTCACTCTGCTGTCCTTGGTTGGCGGAGGGGCGGAGCCACCCTGCACACCCTGTCCACAGCTCCCAAGGGAGTAGGGTGGCACAGACTGGAGGGGGCCCAAGGACATGATGACCAAGTAGGATTTATCCCAGGAATGCCATTTATCCTAGGAATTTAAAAAATGCACCGTTTATCCCAGGAATTTAAAAAATACTGTTAATTCACTCTAGTCACCAAAAAGTCACTTGATTATTTCAAAACATGCAGAAAAAAAGCTTTGACAAAACCCAACATCTATTCCTGACAGATACGCTCATCTGGGGACAGATGTCCATCAAACCCGCAACATAGGGAAGGGACCTCACATCACCAGGAGGCACTTTTGCCACAAACGTTTAGCGGGCATATCATCACGCTGTCCAGGTCACATGGAGCACAGAAGGTGGACAGGGAGGGAGGCTGTCAGCATGAGGCAGTCCATCAGATCCAGAGTAGGGATGTTCTAACGCAGAATGCCCCAGACTCTTCAAAAAGTCAGCACCACAGTGAATGGTGGGAATTCTTTCAGAAGCAGAGGCCAAACCGCAATGTACAACCACACACTGGATCCTTGTCAGTGGATAATCTGAGAAAAGTGTTGGTGTGTCTGAACATCAGAACACACCCTGGAATGACTGATTTCTATCCGTTGTGGTTACACAGCAGTGTTCTTGTTCTAGATTGCTGGTTCTAACATTGGACCAAGGCTGACCCCAAGGATGTCCGGAGACATTCTTGGCTGTTGGCTCTGGGGGAAGGTGCCACTCTCGTCTAGTATAGAAGCCAGGGATGCTGTTTACTGTTTTGCAAAGAACCATGAAGACCTGTCCAGCCACAGATTCCAGCATCGCTGCTATTGAAAACTTTGCTCTAGAGGAATGCTGAGGGCTTCTGGGGAAGTTGGCGGTGTAGCATACACGGATGGACAAAAAGAATCTTGTCAAAACTTTAATTACTGAGTGGAGCTGGAGAACGTATGGGTATTCATTATAGTGTACTTTCAACTTTCCTGTTTATTTTAAAAATAAAGTTGGGTAAAAATAAAACGACAAAGGTGAGAAATCTGAGGGGGCCGGAAGAGCGGCCCGGCACACCCCGCTGGAAGGGGCTCCGGAGGCCCCTCCCACCCCTGTAGGGATGTCTGGGAGGGGCGAAGGCTCAGGAGGTTTTGCCCAGCGTGTGGCTCCAAGGGACGAGTTTTCAGGGCCCAGAGGGTGCCTCGGGGCTCCGTGCATGGGAACCTGATGCACCTTGGAGAGGGAACGGGCCCTATCGGGCGCTGCGGAGCTACGCGTAGCCAGAGCTGCTCGCGGGCTGACGGATCCCGCCTGGGAGTGGGTGAGAGCATCTCTGGGGTCCCGCGCGAAGGTGACACTGCCACTGACAACGTGGAGCTGACTGGACCCCATATGTCATCAAGCCCCGCTCCCTCAGTGAGGTCGATTTCAGGGGCTGCTGCCGAACGGAACCCGGGGAAGGGCTCCGCCCAAGACCAAGCAGCCCGGGCAGGCCGTCCCCGCCCCCGCGCACCTCGGTGCTCGTTCTGCAGCCGCAGGCGCTGGTTGTACAGGCTCTTCTCGGTGAGGTGCTGGATCTCCAGCAGCCCCTGCACGATCTCGAACACGGTGCCGTCGAGCAGCGCCAGGGCCAGGTCGCTGAGCGTGGTGTAGGACAGGCGCTGCTGGAAGGAGCTGCGGGCGGAGCGCGGTGAGCCCGCGGCCCGCCCGCCCGGCCCCCCAGCCTGTTCTCCCCAGCGGCCGCGCACCTGGGCAGCTCCTTGACCAGGCCCTGCAGCGCCGACAGCAACTGGTAGTGCCGCTCCTGCTGCCGGGCCCCGTCCGCCGCCTCCTCCAAGGTGCCAGAGCAGCGCTCCATGGCGCTCGCGCCGCCGGCCGCCGCGCAAACGTCGCGCTCCCGTCGCGTCAGAGCACTCCGCAGCGCGCCACGCCCCCTTTCACGACAGTTCCAGACAAACCGCGGCCAGCTCTCGCCTCACCGGAAGGAGGCCGGCTCTGCCCTGCAGGAGGCTCCGAGGAGCAGCCCGCATTGGCCCCGCCCCTACCCGGGGCCCCGCCCCTTATCCAACGCCCTGCTCACACCCTGCCGCTCCGCTCACACCCCGCCCCTACCCTGCCGCCCCGCCCCTTACCCTCCCGCCCCGCCCTTCACTCCGCCCCGCCCCTTACTCCGCCCCACCATTTACTCTGCCGCCCCGCCCCTTACCCTGCCGCCCCGCCCCTTACTCTGTCGCCCCGCCCTTTACCTCCACCCCGCCCCTTACCGTGCCGCCCCGCCCTTTACCCTCCGCCCCGTCCCTTACCCTGCGGCCCGGGTCTGTACCCTGTCTATCATGAATAGTGCTGCTGGGTGTAATTGCATTCTTGTTTGAATTTGGAGATAGATTTTCAAAGCAGTTAACTAAAAACTGAAAGCATGATTGTTGGGTCTCGTTGTTTAGCTTTAGAAAACACCGCCCAGCTGTCTTATGAAGTGGCTGTACCTACATCCGACCAGCATTGAGGGAGATTCCTGTTGTTCCTCACCCTCCAGCGGTTGATATGGTCATATATTTGAAGTTTAGCAGTCCTAATAGGTGTGCTGTGATATCTCATGATTTTAATTTGTAATTCCCTAGTAGTATGATATTTTTGTATAATTTTTGTATGATTTTTACTATGTGTAAGTCTTTTTTTGGCCAGGTGTCTGCTTGATCCTTACCCATTTTTTTTAGCATGGGTTTGTTTTAGAGGTTTTTGTCTATTTCTGAAACGTAGCAGGGCTGTATGGTCCTTGCTTGTCCCCACCATGAACCCTTCCTACCTTTAGTCTGTGGAAAACTTTAGTCAAAGAATAAATTTCACCAGAGAAATGAGAAATGCTGAAACAAAGGAAAACAGTCAAAGGAGACTTAATAATAGTAATGTAGGCATTAAGCATAGTCAAGGACCTTTACTTATTTCTCAAGGGCTATAGATAATATTCTTTGCCATATCCTATGAGCTGTCTTACAGATACTGAAACCTCAGGAAGAGAAGTTCACTACATGATGATCAGGCTGAACTCAGGACATGAGCTGCCACAATTCTGAGAATTGACTGCAAAGAAATGGGAACAAATGGACCCTGGGCCTGAAGATGAAGTACCGAAAACAACCAAGATGACACTTGTCAGACCACTGATGACCGGTTGAAGGTGACCATTAAAGATGACTGTGCTGTTTCTGCATGTAGCCCGCCACCCCAGTTCTGTCCATAAAAGCTCTCATCCCTTGCTTCTCAGGGGTAGAGGGGCCTCTGGAGAGATGTCCACCACCCTTCCCCGCCCCGGCTGCTGGCACCTGAAATAAAGCAAACTGTCCTTTCCACAAACCAGGGCTATTTATGGGGCTTTTGGGTGACGAGTAGCTGGACCCCACCACACTTCTTTTGGCAACATTTTGAACCCAAATCCTTTCTTGGACTTGTGGTTTAGAAATATTTTCCTCACAGTTTGTGTCTTGTCTTTTGACTTTCTGAATAATGTCTTTGTCGACTACAAAGTGGCACCTGCCATGGGTGCTTGCCATCTACCTGCACGAGGATTAAATCATGTGCTGCTGCAGCTGCTGACCTTTAACCCTCCCTGAAAGGAGTTCAGGGTGGAGAGCAGGAATGAGGCCCTCAGAGCTGGGGTGGGGTGGGGGGAGGGAACCTAACAGGATAAGTCTTCAGATAGACATTCTCAGGAGCTGATCTTATGAGCCCAGTTCTTGTATCTCCTCATCTCTAGAAAAGCATTAAAATCCTTCATGGTGGTGACAGTTCCTCGTGACTAGCAAAGGCTTCACGAGACCAGCAGAAACCTAGTAGAAACCACATATTTGAAAAAATATGTGCTTGATTGCTCGTATCTCCCCTTCACCCAAATCACATATATATACTGACCTCCTTGTCTCCCTCCCCCCCACCCCTCTCTTTGGAGCAGTTTCTCAGACCTACCTGAGGTGCTGTCTCTTGGACTGCAGTCCTCATTTTGCCCAAAATAAAATTTGACTCGCAACTCTCAGGCCATGCGTTTTCGTTTTTGTTTTTAAAGTCAATACCTTTCTTAGTAGACACCTTTAAGTTTATAAAGCCCACAATGTTTTTTCTCACATGGAATGGCTTTTTGTGTATTAAAACTCAAAGCTTATGATATACGGATCAAACCCCACATCATGTAGATTTTCTTCTGTTTCTTTGTAATTTTGCTGATTTTGTATTATAAATGTCTTAATCAGTTTGAGTGAATTTGGTGTACATTTTTCAAGTTTGTATTTACAGTAATTTCATTTCATATAGTTTCCGGCTAATTGTTCCATAACCATTTTGGAGGAGTCATGGTATATCTGGCTTGAATTTAGTTTGAATTTCCTTAGTTTAATGGAGGCAGCAGAAGTGTTTTGAGGGCCTGGGATTTCTGCTGACCTGAGAGGGCAGCTTGGTCTGGATTCTTCCACTGGATGGCAGCGTTGACTTAAAACAATATTCACAACCCAAAAGCTGAGAGTTGTTTTATTCAGCAGAAACTTTTAGAACTCAAAGCCCAGGAGACAGCATCTCAAGTGACACTGAGAGACCTGCTTCGAGGAGGGGAGCCAGGTTACATAGAAGTTCTGCAACAAAGGGAAGGTAGTCTAACATCAAAAGATGACTGTTAATTAAAGAGAAGCAGATATCCCAAGTTAAGGAATGTAGTATTTCTCTATGTATAGGAAGAGGCAAGAGTCTGGGCTCATTGAAATAGTTTCTTTCATTTACATCTCAGCTATCCTGAGCCCAGTATCCTGTGTTTTTCACATCCTGAGGTCCATTGGGATCACCTTAAAAGCGGCTGCAGCTTGATGGCTGTTTTGTTCTTGTTGTTCAGTCTGTCAGTCGTGTCTGACTCTCTTCGACCCCATGGACTGTAGCATGCCAGGCTTCCCTGTCTGTCACTATCTCCTGGAGTTTGCTCAAACTCATGTCCACTGAGTCAGCGATGCCATCCAACCATCTTATTCTGTCACCCCTGTCTCCTCCTGCCCTCAGTCTTTCCCAACATCAGGGTCTTTTCTAATGAGTTAGCTTTTGCATCAGGTGGCCAAAGTATTGGAGCTTTAGCTTCAGCATCAGTCCTTCCAATCAGTATTCAGCGTTGATTTCCCTTAGGATTGACTGGTTTTCAGTTTAGTTCAGTTCGGTTGCTCAGTTGTGTCCCACTCTTTGTGACCCCATGGACCGCAGCACACCAAGCCTGTCTGTCCATCAGCAACTCCCTGAGTTTACTCAAACTCATGTCCACTGAGCCGGTGATGCCATCCAACCTTCTCATCCTTTGTCGTCCCCTTCCCCTTCTGCCTTCAATTTTCCCCAGCATCAGAGTCTTTTCCAGTGAGTCAGATCCTTGCATCAGGTGGCCAAAGTATTGGAGCTTCAGCTTCAGCATCAGTCCTTCCAATGAATATTCAGGACTGATCTCCCCTAGGATGGACTGGCTGGATCTCCTTGCAGTCCAAGGGACTCTCAAGAGTCTTCTCCAACACCACAGTTCAAAGGCATCAATTCTTCAACGCTCAGCTTTCTTTGGAGCCTAACTCACATCCACACAAGACTACTGGCTGACTGGTCTGTCTCCCGCTAGATCGCGGGTACTCTTCTCCCTCCTGAGTGCCCTGAGGGCTCACCAGCTCATCTTGGAGGGCTGCAATCTCTGATGACTGTGACATCCTTATTTCCAGGTATATGGCTGGAAATATTCCACTTCTCACCAGGGGAAGGGCGAGCCCGCCTCCCTGACCCGCCCCTGCCTGTAGCGCGAGACCGGGTCTCCGGGATGCACGGGAGTTTTGTTCCGCGGTTCACCTGAAGGCAGCTGCGGCCCCTGTGGGTGGGGCCCAGCGTGAACGTGGGGTGGGCCCCTGGCACCCTAGCTGCATCCCGTCTCCAAGCGGAGGGGCGAGGGCTGCAGTGTAGGTTCAGGGCTCCTGGGTGGTGCTTTGGCAGCTGGGGATTCGCTGCGTGGTAAAGGCAAGTCAGGATATTCGCTTTGTTATTTGCCAGCTCCCTCAGCCGCCAACACTGCAGACTGGGGACCCAGGCCTGCCCAGGCTCCAGGGGGTGGCTCTGGTCCAGCCCAGGTCACCATGGCCTGAGGTAAATAGAATCAGCACTTTTTTCTTTACCTGTTTTTTATTTTTATCCGATAATTTTAATTGGAGTGTATCCTGGCTGGCAACAGTCCATGGGATCATAAAGAGTCAGAGACGACTGAGCATCTGAGCACATATAGGTGGATTACAATGTTGTGGGTTTTTTTTTTTCTTTCTTTTTTCAATCTACAGCAACTTGAGTCATTTATATATAGACGTATTTACTTTCTTTTTCAGGTTCTTTTCCCACATAGGTTATTGGAGAGTATTGATTGAGGTTGCTTGTGTTACATTGTGGGTGCTTGTGGCTTGTTTTACAAATGGTAGTGCGCATATGTTAGTTTGAAACAGCTCATTTCTCCCTGCCCCACACCTTTTGTTTTTGGTGACCATAAGTTTCTCTTTGGAGTGTATGAGATTTTCTCTTTGGTAAAGAAGTTCATTTGTGTACATCTATAGATTTAACTGGAAGTGAATGACCCTTGTCTCTCCCTGTCTCCCTCAGTCCCCTTGGTGGGACCATCTCTTCTTTCTCCCCTGTGGCTCGACATGACATGATCTCCTCCCTCTTTACAGCTGAGAAGTATTGCACTGTGTGTACCCATCTTCGTTATCTGTTCAACAGTCCTTCTATGCTTAGGTGGCTCCGTGTCTTGGCTAGGGCATCTAGTGCAGCTGTGATCATAGGGCTACCCTTGTATCTTAAAATGTTAGTTTTGTCCAGGTC